TGTCTATAGTTCGTCTGACTGGTATTGCTAGTGAAGGGATGATAGCAGAGATTTCCGAAGCACATTTCCCGTGGAAGTATCGATAGAAAAGTGAAAGGTCGCCGACCTTTCTACGGTGTTCCAATGATGTCGAAGAGTGAGTGAGTGTGGCGTCACCCACCAGGCGGATGGCTCTTCTCTAGATGGAATCTAAGAGCATCAGCGTATGTTTTGGTGCTGAACCCCATATGTGGGAACAGTATTCTAGAACAGGCCGTATCTGCGCTTTGTAGATCATGAGAAGCTGTTGGGGAGTAAAGTAGCTTTTCGCACGGAACAAGAATCCGAGTTTTTGTGAAGCAGCTTTTGCGATGGATCTGACATGATTATCCCATGAAAGAGTGTTGCTGATGGAAATACCGAGCATAGATATGGTGGGCTTGGTGGAGATGGTGGTGCCAGACATTACAATGTCGGGCATACTGAGTTCCGCCTTCCTATAGAAAATACAGGCTTGAGTTTTGGTGGCGTTGAATTCAACTAGGTTGTTGGTTCCCCAGGCTGTGATTTCATCAAGGTCTTCATTGACAGCATTGACCTCTGCCTGCGCCGTGAGTTCTTAGTTTCCTAGGAAGAAATGGGAATTCTGGAAGAGAACGCAGTATGGAGGCTACTATCATCTGCAAAGCTGCAAAGCTAAAAGAAGATAGACATAACAATGGGGAATAATTTGAAACCACCAATGTGTCTCTGAAACACGCTGTATATTGAAAATCTTATTTGAATATTATGAATGAAAAAACAATGATTCACGGTACACTCACGGGCAATTATTCATAATCACATGTTCACATGAGTGGTTAATAAGGTCACATAAATGCTTCAATATAGGATTCAGAAGTTTCGAAATACAATTTTATTGCTAATGAATAACTCTTGTGGGAGCGCATTTATACGAATAATTAATTACCATTATTATTCATAACCCACACTGACTGGGTGCCACATGCCACACTGTGATTCAGGTTGCGAATTCACAAAGTACCCAGCGAGCACAAACATCCCTGGGATGTTTTGGGATGTTTTGAAAAAGTTGGCAGGAAGATGTTATTTTGAGGCGTAATATGCACTTCCCAAAGAGGTCTTAGAAGGATATTGAAATGATTGTTTTTGTTCTTTTGTGCCCTTTCTTTGTTTGCCCCACCACAACGTCTCATGCTTACGTCACAATACGATGAATTCTGATTTGTTTTCGATTTTGTTCTTCTTGTTCGCAATTGGCATTCGCGTTTGCAGCGTGTCACGCTTACATCACGCTGCTAACGAACAGAAAGGAATTTGGTGAAGATGTGTTGTTTGGTGCCTCAGTGTAATCAATATATGAAAGTACGAATTCATCAATACACAGCTTCTCCGCAGTTGCAAAATTATGCATTGTGGAGAACATTTCAAAAATTGGGAAACCTATTTCCAATTATATGTCTGTGTGTAGTGAGCACTACTCAGAAACCGATTAAGAAGGTAATTTCATATCAAGAAAATATTTTTATGTTCAATCTATTTTTAATGCATTTTTTCATTCAAGGGAAATGGAATCCTAATGCAAAAGTTCATTTTGACAAAAGGCTTCAGAAAAGTACCTCGAAAATGGTTTTTTTACAGCGATTTAATGTGCGCAAGACGCGTTGAAAATGTTTTGTTGTGTCCATGAAAAGGCTTTAAAAAGAACTAGGGAGAAGGTAATTTTCTGACATATCAAGGACATCTCGATAATTGCCGCCTGCGGCGGACATTGGCTGTTCTATAACTATTCATGTGTGAACAGAACATCGCAGTGGAGGTTCAATGTCTCGAAATCTCGTCCTTTTAACATCTCTGAGATGTTTTTGTGCTCGCTGGGTTATCGTTGGTGTATAGTTTTCGAATATACAGTTAGTTTGCTGATTCAAACAATGGCTTATCTTCAATGATAATAAATTCACCAATGTTGAACCCTTATTGATTTGTATTTCCTCAGATTCTCCATCTCTAATTATCAAGGCTCAATTAAAACCATACGTTCAACTTTCGGTTTTCATAATCGCAGACGTTCCCTAAAAAAACACCCAAAGTCGAATCGATGTCATAACATTTTACATAATAACTTGCCGACATTTCACATAATAACTTGTCGACATTTACACATCTTCTTACTCGATGATCTCAATCGTATCGTATAGGTAACTGATGCCAACCGTGTGGGTAAAAAACGAAAGTGCATGGCATCTTTGAATTACAAATTATGGTTGCATTCCTTCATCACAATCAGCTTTGGTTTTATACAAGCCCATGTGCCATTACCCATAAAAGGAGGACAAAGAGAGGGTATACTTCCTATATGAAAAAAAAAATGTATTGAGTTATACATACACTGTGTAGTTCAAGTGCTACATTTTGATTCCGATAACAAAATGTGTATCTTTCAAAATGGTGGTTGGACGCAACTTCGGATTTCTTAAAATTGTAATGGAGGGTCTAGTGATTCCTCATTTGAAACGTCTTTCAATTCTCTATATACGACACCAGAATTTTAGACAATCATATCCAAAAAACCAAATAGCACGGATGATGTTTGAAATTCCCATCAGGATCCCCTCGATTAGATGGCTATCAACGTGCTCTCGTGTAATCTTCAGTTCTCCATTGTCATCTTAAAAAGTTATACAGGGGGATCCACGGTGGATGGCCTATTAGAAGTATCTGGAGAACGAAAAGACAGAACATTCTGAAAATTAGGATGCTTTGATAATTGAACATTCTCTATCCTTCTGAAATATTTTTATCCATACAGTGTTGCCACTTCTATCAGAAACAACTAGCAACTTTGTTATTTTGAATAGAGCACCCTGTATTTTATTGCATTTTTGGGTTCTCCCTAAAGAGCTGATTTCATCAATGCATCACACTTGGGGTCTAGCAGGAATTATTACAGATATATAGGGTGTTCAAAATCGAGATTTTTCAATTTTAGGATTTTTTTGTGTCGAGCCATTATCGATCAAAACGGCTCACATGTCCCTATCTTAACTTTCGATTTACTATCTACGGAACAGATACAGGGTGATCAAAATTCTGAATCTTGAAGCACTCTGTATTTGTTCCAATTAAATTCCAGTAGATAGTGAATCAAAAGTTGAGGAAGGGACATGTGAGCCACTTTGATCGATAATGAATAGTTTCGACACAAAAAAATCCTAAAATTGAAAAATCTCGATTTTGAACACCCTATATCTCTGTGATCATTCCTGCTAGACCCCAAGTGTGATGCATTGATGAAATCAGCTCTTCAGGGAGAATTCAAAAATTCAATAAAAAACAGAGTGTTCCATTTGAAATAACATAGTTGTTAGTTGTTCCTGACAAAAGTGGCAACACTGTATCGATGAAAATATTTTAGACGGATAGAGAATGTTCAATTATCAAAGCATCCCACTTTTCAGGATGTTCTGTCTTCTCGTTCTCCAGGTACTTCTAATAGGCCATCCACCGTGGATCACCCTGTATATCCAGGAAAAAGTCAAAAATGAGTCATCTATCAATACGCTCGATCTTTTTCCGAAGATATGTTGTGGTATCAACTGATTCTTTCAATTTTGCTTATTCGGTTCGGTTATTACGCCATAGACAGTGATTGAAAGTATGTTGAAAGTTATGAAAGATTTTTGGTACAAATGTGAATTCGATCAGTGATCTAGATATCGGTCGAACATTCCACTGTCAACGAGATGAATGATCGATACTGTGAATGTAGAACACAGTGATTTGTTTTGTTTGGATTACTAGATAGAACACGTTTGCAAAGTGGAATATTTAATTGGTAGCTGAATAGATTAAATTATATATATATACATATAAAATATCACTGAGAGTACCTAAAACAAATGCAGGACCCTCTCGCAATAACAATCATCATTGTTATTGCTCCCTCGGAATCAGTAATATCTATCGGATTTTTTAAATTGATGGAGAAAATTCCTCGAATATAATTTCATAAAGAATGAAGAACATTTATGCAATTCCCTTTATGAAAATGGCGTCTTGTTAAGTTTTATATCAAACTGTCCTACGCGTTTTCAAGATACAGAGTATTGAAGTTGAGAAATGACCTATGTTATTCCTCAGCCCTTATCTCTAAGGGAGGGCAAATGGATATAAGTACGTGAATAATTCAAAATTGAAAGCATCAATCAATTCTGAATAATTCTAACATTGATGGTGATTTTTTGACTTCATACCATCCCAGAGTGCAGCTCGTGAATCTTGTTGAATTTTTGATCCACATTTTGGGTACCGAAGTTGCTAATTTCACCAACAAGTATTTCAATTGGAATGTAAATTTGAGTTTTCAAAAGTTCATTTGCGTCTACAGTATATGATTCAATAAATTTGGAATAAGAAAAAAGTATTATTGCGGAAATTTCACAAATTAGCAGTTTTACATTCTTTTGCCGTTAAATTCTTTCTTGTTCGTGCCTTAAAGGGATAAACTATATATCCTCCAGATATTTAGAATTATATTCTGCTGATAGAGTACCTACATTGACAAGAGAAGAACAACAGAAGAGTAATTTTGTCAAATTATCATTAATTTTATATTAAATATCAATAAAGGGTGATTTCGTATATGCTTGGAGGCAGTATATCCTTTATTATGCTTGTGTACAGAAGAATTTTAGTGCAAATGAACTGAAAACGACTCCTTAGTCGAAATTCCACAATAATGCTTTTTTCCTATGAAATTTAATCAGTAGGTAATTTAGTGAATGCCTGATTTTCTTGAACAATATCATTGACATGCTAGTTATTTCTAGAAAATAGACATAACCCCCGCCCTGTATGTCGGCCCGTATTGATTCCTGTAATTATTTTTGGCTTGTACTATAAACGCGAGTTCAGCTAGAACGAAAGTGTATACTGAATTCGATAACGATCAGTTTTGTATTTCCTCAAAGATAAAATTATACCGTTTTTTCTTTTTCAAGCATATGGCCAGGAAAACTTCAAATGCCCCGACGACTTCGGTTTCTACCCACATCACATCTCCTGCGACAAATACTGGAAATGTGACAACAACGCAGCAGAACTCAAAACATGCGGGAACGGTTTGGCCTTCGACGCCAGTGATCCCAAATTCCTGACTGAAAACTGTGATTACATCCACAATGTTGATTGTGGAGACAGATCTCAACTTGGTAAGTTGTAGTAATACAATCAGAGTTCAAAAATATGGAGAAAACAAGGGTTTTGAAATGAGAGCTCTCAAGAGCTGCTTAGCACCTAGCGATACTTGGCAATAAATGCTATGGAGAGATATCAATCAGGCGAACCAGACTTAAAGACTGACAAAATTCGTACACAGATTCCTGGTCGAATTATTTCAAATTCAAACTGACACTTTTTGTGATTATGCAAGAAGTTATCGATGTTTAACCCGAATATATTGAAGATTTCAAGTGAATATCTTATGAGAATAACACTTTCTGATTCCTCAGAACCTATTCTAATCTGATAACGATGCTTTTTCAAGAACCCCCGATCCCAGCGGGCAAGTGTGATCGTCTCTACGGCGTCTTTGCCGACGAGGCCAAATGCGACGTCTTCTGGAACTGCTGGAACGGAGAGGCATCCAGGTACCAGTGCTCGCCCGGCCTGGCCTACGACAGGGAAGCCAGGGTGTGCATGTGGGCTGACCAGGTGCCAGAATGCAAAAACGAAGGTCAGTGATACGTGATATTGATGATGTTTCGTCCATAGAAAGAATTATTGGGAGAGAAGTATCTTGTTTATTTCGATTATCTTCAGAGATAGGAATATGCGGTTTTCGCGGAAACTCGTATCACTATATCGCAAACTAAATTTTCATAGCCCGATTCATTTTTGACATGCAGGGCAAAATCGATAATATAGTATCTATGTATATCAGTATCTTTCAATTATAGAAAAAGTAAAAAGTGTCTGTAATACTTTTTTGCACGCAGAAACCATAGTCGAATTTTTTGAATGGGCATAGAAGGGTCAACGTTACTTGTAGCCATGGTTATAAAAGGTGGAGACTTCAACTGGAATAAATTCACTAGAGAGAGGTGAATATTTTTGTCAAAAATTCTCGTCATAGCAATATGGGGAATATTGTACTTTAAGGGAATCGGAAACCATCCCCAACATGTATTTTCGAGGTTTTTGGCTTGTGATTCCTCTTTGGAGAGCTAGTGGAAAGAGGAATTCAGTGTTAATGATCAAATTTCAGTTTTTTGTACGTTTGAGTGTTCCATAAAATCAAAACGTAATTGTAGAATTCCATTTCTTTTTTCAACGTGATAATTGCTCGAAATGTGTGTTGATCTTATTCTTCTTCAAACAAATTACAGCAATTTTTCGCCACGACTATTTTATGGATGTTTTTCCACAGCTGCGGAATAGCTATTTGTGCATTTAGAGCGCAGGCGGCAATAACACTTTGTGCTCGAAATACACACAAGATTTTTTCTACTAACGGAGCTTTTGGAAATAACTGCCCTGAAAGTTTGAGCGATTGAAATAGTTCTTATCCATATTATCCCATATGTCCAAAGAGTACAAGAAAAAACATAAAAAAACTGACAAGCCAGAAAAAAATGTCGGGCCTACCGAGAATTGAAACCGGACCAACAGCGTGACAACCTGAGCTTCAGACCTCTGAGCCATAGTACAATAAACTCTGCAATCAAATTGAACGTTACTCATTGATGCAATAAAATAAAGATACACTGTCTTTCTGATGACAACAAAGAGTTTAAATATAAAGTATAATTCATCGTTTTCAACAGATATGCTTCATCGGGAGCTTCTTGTAGAAATTTGTTGGTATATATCTTCAGCGGTGAATGTTTTGGATTTTTCTCGCTTTATATCCAATAGATGGTTTCTTGAGAAATGCAATAAGTTTCAGATACTTATTGATTTCGATATCATCTTTAACATTCAAGCATGTATACGTTTCATCGAATAGACCAATGAGTTGATGACTTCGAAGTCTCTGATTTTGACTTATTAGCCAGCAGTAAAACATTTTCTGAATACATATTCACCATCTCGGAGAGGCACCAATTTATGAATGTATCATATTGTAATTCATATTTCTTCCTTGATTTCTCCGGTGAGAGATTCAAACTCTTGCGCTTTCTGCTATATCATGAAAATTGGGGGGTTTCAAAAATAGATAAGTATCGGTTACAAAGATGTGTGAGGGTTTTTTCAATATTTCCGCTCACGAGCGCAAATGCTGTCAAAGAATGACATTCCTGGGAAAACGTCAACTTTGTGCTGGAATTTGAAAGCGTCAAAGGCTACTTTGTTAGGCGTTTGTGGAAAAAGAAATTTAATCAGTATGCCGTATTCACACTTCAAAACGAAGTGTTGTTGAAAACTCGTGAAAATGCCTTATATTTAAATGAATCGCTAAGCATCCAACTTTTGATGACAATAGATTGGAAATTTATTGAGCTTGGATATTATGCTCTGACTTAATGCACTCCTCAAACTTACTGAAACCAAAATTTCATCAGCACGCTGGGTTTCTCTTTCAACCAGCTTTCCAATGAGGAGTCACAAGCCATATATCGGGTGGTTCATTCGAGACTATCCACCCTCTCAAACAATTAAGGAAACACGTCGATTTTTTCATACTTCAACCCTCCACTGCCCAGAGCGACCCCCTCAAAAAATTAAATAGGCAATAAGGGCCGTGGTATACACCATTGCAGAGGTGATGTACGGAAAGAATTATTGAATGGTTATCCACAACAAATGGTCAAAATTATCTCCATTGACTCCCAGACAGTGGTAGAATCTATTTGCTATTTGCTCATGCACATTTGAAATGTTTCTCTAGTTATTGCTTGGCATTCAACCCTTTTTCTTTCTTCCTTATCGTCCAGATCAGTAGACTCCTTTTGATAAATAACAGATTTCAAATGACTCCAAAGAAAAAATCATTGGGTGCCATATCCGGCGAGCGTGCTGGCCATTTTATCGGTCCTCTACGTCCTATCCATTTGTTTGGGAGAATTTGGGGTTGCCATTCTCTCATCTGCCAACAGATCTCCATTACCAGGTCCGTGAGAGAATGGCTATTCTCCCAATGATTTATTTCTACGGAGTAATTTGAAATCTCTCATCTATAAAACAGAACTCACACTGACCTGGAAGATTTGGAAAGAAGAATGAGGATTGATTGCCAGATAAACATCTTCAACTGTACAAATAGCCTCTACCACTGTATTGGGTCAATGAAAATAAATCTGAACGTTTGTTGTGAATCCCGTACATTCCTTCAAAGACAATTAAAAATATACCATTTGAACTCGAATATCTCTAGAGCGCCTGGTTGGAATTCAAAATACTTTGCACTGCCAATGTTAGAATTAAATTACCTTTGCAATGATGTATAACACGACCCTTATCTCCTATTCAAATTATCGATGGATATGGACCACCCAGTATAGGGTGAAGTGAAAAACATGTTGAGACTGATATCAGCTATCCCTGATTGACAATTTTCTTCATTTTGCTTGAAAAATGTTAAAAAAATTAAAAATGTTGACGTAACTTGAGAATCATTAAAGATATCATTCCGCGCTAGCTAATTTATGCCAGTTAAAATCCCCACCCTGTATTCATACTCCTTATTCATTCGTATAGCTGTATAATTGTTATATCATCAACATATTTCCTGGAAAAAAATCAAATCATATATTATTGTCATTTAATTCATACATTTATTTAATTCGACTCATTCATCATATTTTTCATGACTTCAAAATGACATTGACCTGACGAGAGAATATATCAAATTGACTGACAATAACTCATCGAGTTGAAAATATATTCTATTGTTTGGAAAGTGATCTCGATGATGACAAAATGATATTCAATGTTTATCCAAAATTATTTTCAATTAATTTATGAATGATATAATATAACACTCATACTTCAAAAACATCTATAATTCAAAATTCTAATCAATTTGTATATATCAGTAATCTACAAAAAAAAAACGAGTACAAAATTTCCTCAAAATAACTGGAACTCAATTGGCTAACGGAAATTATTCAATCACTTTACGGAGACGCATTGTATATTGGGATATCTAGATCGTATATTGAACCTGTCTATAAAAAAAATTAATATCAAAAGTCTCATTGAGATTAATGCAAAGTAAATACGGACAACCGAGAGAAATCCTAAAAAAAAAAAGGTTGGAAAACCCATAATATGAGTTATTTCTTATTCAAAAATACATACTCAGACATTGACTGGAAAACTTGAAATTATCCAAGGAAAACATATCAAGATTGAACTCGAGAGACAAGAACAAAATTCCCGCGATATATTTGGCACCCAATTGGCAACACGGACCACCAAAAATTACCCAAACAAAAAACATCGAAATCCCAACCCAATTGGCTTCCAGACTCGGACCGACGGACACTCCCCACCCTCATCCTCCACTTGTTAATTTCCAGAAGTTGCAGGCGGCTTCTCGTGCCCCGCCGCGGGCGAGATAGCCAACACCGGATCTTTCTCTAGGCACGCTCACCCGGAGGACTGCAGGAAGTACTACATCTGCCTGGAAGGGCAGGCCAGGGAGTACGGGTGCCCAATCGGCACCGTCTTCAAGATCGGCGACGGTGACGGTACTGGGAACTGCGAGGACCCTGAGGATGTGCCCGGATGGTGAGTTGGCAGCTCGAAACGTATAGTACAGGGTGAAGACAAACGGAACGGTTTTCGCCGAGTCGGCACACGAGCTGTCGTATCTTTATTGAATAAAACAAACGCAACATGAGCAGCGCTGTTGCCGCGCGTACGGTCGTCTGGATGATATGCCGAACCGTTACCACCGATACAACAAGGCCTGCATGCTCCGTGGGTGACGTCACTTAGTCAGGCCTAACCAGCGGCTCGAAATGACAAGCGCTTATAGCGCTATAAGGCGACCGCGTATTTCGATTTTAGTTTTAGATCATCATTTAGCCGATTTTGCTGTTTTTTGAAGGCCTTCCGGTTAAAAAAGGATGCCCGTCGTCAACTGAGCCCTTCTTCGCACCCCATTCGATTTTATTATGGAAAAACGAAGTTTTGAAGCAAAAACCAGGATAAAACACAAATATCTACCTACAGCAACCCATTCGAATTAAATATATTGGCAAAAATTGTGGTAAAGGTAAACTTCACACCTACTTATACAGGGTCCGCAGAACATAAATTTATCGTGAGATTGATCGAAAGAAAATTGTGGAAAATTACCTGAAAAAATAACCAGTGAGTGTTTTCAATTTTCAGTTGGATTTTTCACCCAAGTGGATCGTTACACTTGAAACCGTAATTTTTAAGGGTAAAACTGCATTTATCATGCGATGTTTTTTTTTTGAAAATTTTTTTCGGTACTCACGTATTTTTGTCTGATAAACCGAATTTTATAATGAAAATGTGAACAAACCACTATTTATTGAGATATTTCAAGAAAAAGTTCGAAATTTCGCCTTCTTTCTCCCCTTGTGTTGGGGGCATTTGAAGCTACTTGCTCTTATTTTGTCATTGAACACTTTATATACTCATGATGTACTTCGATGGCACATTTTTATATAGAAAATTCAACAGGAAATATGATTTTTATGGCGAGTTTTTCATATTTAGTGAACAAGCATTCCAGATGACGACCATTTAATCAATAGTCAATCAAAATACGAGATGTCAAATGTCAATAGATTGCTTTCGAATGACATTACACACGCCATTATTTTGAATGATATTCTTCCTTCTTTTCACTAAATATGGATTAATCTCAAGAAAATCATAGTTATAGTTGAATTATATATAAATTGTCCAATATGATGAAAAAAGATGGGAAATTTGGAACTTTCCAGTCAAATATCTTCTCATGATAAATATCATGATAAATGCAGTTTTACCTTTTTTGAGTAGAGTGTTTGTAGTTCATGTTAATATGATAGTTGCAATTTGATCATTGGAATGAATTCTGCATTCATTGCCACGAGGTAAATGACCGTTTTCAGAAAGAAATTTGAGAATGAGAATTAAAAATGCCCGTTTATTATGAACATTCAAGAAAATTTCCTCGAATTCAGAGATGATGATTTTGTTGACTATAATATACGAATACAAAAATAACTGCACAATCAAAGCTTTTCTATTTTTCCTCTACTTATACTTTTTATGAGAGAGTAATTGTCTTCTATTATTAATTCATCATTATAAATTAAGCTCTGTTTACTACTGAACTTAGATACTTAGATGGAGTAAAATCCTCGCGGTGAATTGCATATACTTTCGATAGCTCCTCGTCCAACGGGAAACTAAAAGCATGACTTTTGAACCACCCACATAATTCCCCCGACAAAAGGGAACACAACACTTGAAAGGCATTGTTATTTCGCCGATCACAACACAAAATATTTCACAAAACAGTAATTTTTCCGCAAATTATTTTGATGAATAAACAACAAAAGAATTCGAGACCGTTCCAAAAACATACGTGAATCACCGATGAATTAACACGAACTGACGCGTTAGTCGACAAGCGATAAAATAAAACACTGGCCTCACTTGGCGACGTCACGAGCTGTTTACGTCAGAGTCTGCTGGCCTTGTTGTATCGGTGGTAACGGCCGAACGCGTTTTTATTGCTTTGAGCGGTTACTCAAACCGTTTCGTCAAGTGCGATTGAACACACGAGGAGCGGTTTTCGAGCGGTAAAATACAAACATTGTTGTCCAGTTGACCGATCCATGATGGCTCTCATTTATTGATGACATTTTCACAAATTCCACGCGCAACAACATCAACACCTTTGGTATCTCACCCTCAGAATCAGTACAGTCTCATATATAACCCGAAGATACTAGAGACAATGAATTTTGAAGTTTGTAACGTTCATGCATTATGATAATGAAAATTGAGTTTCTCTCACCTCAGCGTTATCACTAGTTTTTCTTCTGGTGAAATACTTCTCCTCATTGCCGTATCCTGCTTAGTTATTTGATTCTTTATCAAAGTCAGAACGTCAGAATCTCAAAAAACGAATCTTTTGACATTCGTACAAAATTGAAGAATTTTTCGTCATCTCTTTTGATCTCATCATTGATTATAAAGTCTAAAACAAACTTTTCTCAGTTCGTTCCTTGACAATTGCACCCACATACGCATGTTAATTTTTATTTCGAACACAATAAATTAGTCCCCCTAATGTTAAGAATTCCTCCTCTGGTTCAGACTCCATTCCGTTCAGACACTATTGCGAATTTGAACAGGAACTGACAACAACATTGTTTTCGTTTTGCGTGTCGCATCAGCAACGACCCGTGTGTCTTCAACCTAAATGTCCGCCCTCCCTGCTCTTGCTCAGTTATTTCTGAACCGATTCCAAAATTTGAAAAATAATTTCAAATTATTTTTCATAGTAGCTCCTTGTCCGCTACATTAAAAAATTAATACCGGGTGGTCCAGAAAAACAACGAAACACGACGTTGAATTTTGTTTGGAGAGGGACACCGTTTGACGCAAAAAAGGTAATACATATACTTCAACCCTGTACTCCCCAGTTTGACCCCCTCCATAATTTGAATAGGGAATAAGGGTCATGTTATGAATCATTGCAAAAGTAAAGCAGTGTAAAGTTTTTTGAAATTCAACGAGCCGTTTTTGACACATCTTATGGTATGTTTTCTTATTCTAAGTAGATTGATGTACGAAATGAATTATTGAATAGTTATCCACAACAAATGTTCGAAATGACCTCCATTGACTACCAGACAGTGGTGAGGTCTATCCACAAATTCCTTACTGCCTGGTATTCAATCCTTCTTCTTCTCTCCTATCAGTATATATATTCCGTTTTATAAATAACCGATTGCAAATGACCCCTAAGAAAAAAATCATTGGGTGTGAAATTATGGGGTAGCGCACTAACTTATTAAAATGAATATTATCTGTCAATAGAGTTCGATTACCATTATCATTGAGGTCGAGTGAGAATGTCTATCCCAACATTTCTCGAACAAATGGATTGGTCGTGGAGGTTCAACAGAATGGCCAGCACGTTTGCCGGACTTGGCACCCAATGATTTTTTTCTATCAAGTTATCTGAAATCCCTCACCTTTTGGACGAAACCTACTGGCCTGAACGATTTCGAAATAAGAATAAGGACTGAATGCCAGACAATTACAAGATAAACATCTTCAAATGTGCGAAAGAAATTTGCGAATAGATTCTGCCACTGTTGGGGGTGAATGAACGTTATTCTGAACATTTTTTGTGGATACCCATTTGATAATCGATTTCGTACATTAATTGGAAGCCAATGAAACAACATACAATTTGAACTTTGATTTATTACATAACCCTTATTCCCTGTTCGAATTATTGAGAGGGTTGCTGTGGGGAGTAGAGGGTTGAAGTATGAATCATTCATTTTGCGTCAAACGGTTCCCCCTCCAATTAAAAATTGGCGTGATTTGGTATTTTTTGTAAAATTATTTTTCTCACAGTTATCGAGGGTGGATAGTCTTAAATGGATCACCTGGTATATATATATATGTATATATCTATATCTATGCTCGATATTACCATCACCAATACTTTCTCATGGGAAAATCATGTCCGATCCATCGCAAAAGCTGCTTCAAAAAAACTCGGATTTTTGTTCCGTGCAAAAGTCTACTTTACACCTCAACAGCTTCTCATGATCTACAAAGCACAGATACGGCCAGTTTTATAATGCTGTTCTCATATATGGGGTTCAGCACCCAAACATACACTGATGCTCTTAGATTCCATTCAGAGAAGAGCCATTCGCCTGGTGGATGATGCCACACTCACTAACTCTTTGACCTCATTAGAATACCGTAGAAAGGTCGGCGACCTTTCATTTTTCTATAGATACTTCCACTGGAAATGTTCCTTATAAATCTCTACTATAATTTCATCACTAGCAAAGACAGTCAGACAAACTCGACAGGCCCAGTCAGCACATCCTTTCGTCGACAACCTTGAAATATGTCGAACAACACTCTACCTAAACTCGTTCATCTATAGAACGGCGAATCTTTGGAATTCTTCACCAAAGGAAAGTATTCCCAAGAACTTATTACCTCCAAAAGTTGGAAAGAATCCAATACCTACCTCAGTATAGGTACGCGCCCGATGTTCCACGAGCATTATAGAAATTTCTTTTCGTGCACTCCGAGAGATGAAAATAATACAGGGTGCTCGGAACAAACGATATACCTACAGGGTACTAGTATTTTTCCAAATGGGACACTATGTATTTTATTCTACTATCAGTTAGACTAGAGTGCCTCGAACATCTCATGTTCCGCTATATAGACTAGACAAATTTTTGGGATATTGAACTTTAAGAAGCATTTCGTATTACTTTTTGGTAAAGGGTGTTTTTCTACTATTTCGACCCTGCTGATTACGAAAATGCCGGTTGCCAAAGCGAAATCGCAACCGGAAGTGAGATATTCAAGATGGCGTCCGAAATGGCATCAAAACAGAATTTTGCTGCTAAATCTCCCTTGTTTGAGGTAGGAACGCGACCAAAGGGTCTCTTTATATGTTTTCAGACATGAAGAAAACAAAAACACACAAACTAAACTCGTTCGTTGAATATAATTTCTAAAAAATATGACAAAAGCGGTCAAAGTTGCCCTTTTTGGTTTTTAGCAAACAATATACTTTGACTAATGTATTATATCGTTCTATGCACATTTGAGACATTTAATGTAACACTTGAAACAAAAGGTATTTCTTAAGAAAGAAGTGAAATTATTGTGTGTCTCCAGAGTTCAGGCAAGAACGTTTACAGGGAGTGCACAGTTTGATGCAAGAGACATTGGCTTTCTACAACTGCAATTTTTTGTATTACAATGCCCTTTGCAATGACAGACAACTATTTCTGGGCACGTCTTAGGAATGGGATCCAGTGTTATTAAACGAGGAACAACTTGTTCTCTCTGCACAATCCAGCCACAGTCCTGCAGCCTAGGTAGTGACGGTTTGGGGATATGCGCATTCTCCCAAACACACACCTGAGATAAAAAAATATATATATGTTTTCATTTCTGTCAATTTGCGTTTTAGGTACGATTACCTGGTAGTTGCATCTCTTAATATGGAGACGAAGTGCATCAGTTGTCGGTGGGAGAAATTCTGGCTTTCTTACAGCTCCAAATAAATAAACTTCGGGCATCGTTTGAGCATGTGATGCTGGAATCAACCTGTATGAAATCAGAATTTCTGTGTGTACTTCATTTTAATTCAATATCATCTGGAAGATATTTAAGTGTAAGCATTTTTACCTTATACAGTTTGACGACAAATTTCTCGACATTGCTAAGGACGTCCTCCTCAAGTGGCGACTGTCCGAGGCGTCCCAGAAGCTCGCAGTTTGTACCAGAAAAAGCCTTCCATGCTCCAACTTTCGTGCGCAGAGACATTGAGGACTGCAACGTGCCGCTGCCAAAGAACTGGAGTAACTTCTTGTTTTTATCAGAAAACAAAACTGATTTATGCAGGTTTTTGTCCGAGAGAATTATGCAACATAACTTTGGCGATCTTGAAGTAGTTATCTCCGGCGGCTTCACTGAGGAAGAACATGCTCAGTCCACGAATTTGCGTCGGAATGTTGATTGCCTGAAATCATCACACGAGGAAGCTGACACGCGCATGGTTCTTCATGCCGTTCACACCACAGCTCATATAACGTTGTTGTGATGACGAGGGACACCGACGTTGTTCTTCTTCTTATCTACCACTTCGCTAAAATGAAATGCTCCCATTTGTGGGTAATAAGTGGCACTGCACGTGACACCAAGTACATTCCTGTACATGATATATGCAGAAAGCTTATGCCGGAACAAGTCTCCCATCTTCTTGCTTTCCATGCAATAACCGGCTGTGATTCGACGTCTAAGTTGGCGTCTATCACGAAAGTTGGAGCATGGAAGGCTTTTTCTGGGACAAACTGCGAGCTTCTGGGACGCCTCGGACAGTCGCCACTTGAGGAGGACGTCCTTAGCAATGTCGAGAAATTTGTCGTCAAACTGTATAAGGTAAAAATGCTTACACTTGAATATCTTCCAGATGATATTGAATTAAAATGAAGTACACACAGAAATTCTGATTTCATACAAGTTGATTCCAGCATCACATGCTCAAACGATGCCCGAAGTTATTTATTTGGAGCTGTAAGAAAGCCAGAATTTCTCCCACCGACAACTGATGCCCTTCGTCTCCATATTAAGAGATGCAACTACCAGGTAAGCGTACCTAAAACGCAAATTGACAGAAATGAAAACGAAATGAATATAATATATATATTTTTTTATCTCAGGTGTGTGTTTGGGAGAATGCGCATATCCCCAAACCGTCACTACCTAGGCTGCAGGACTGTGGCTGGATTGTGCAGGGAGAACAAGTTGTTCCTCGTTTAATAACACTGGATCCCATTCCTAAGACGTGCCCAGAAATAGTTGTCTGTCATTGCAAAGGACATTGTAATACCAAAAAGGGCAACTTTGACCGCTTTTGTCATATTTTTTAGAAATTATATTCAACGAACGAGTTTAGTGTGTTTTTGTTTTCTTCATGTCTGAAAACATATAAAGAGACCCTTTGGTCGCGTTCCTACCTCAAACAAGGGAGATTTAGCAGCAAAATTCTGTTTTGATGCCATTCCGGACGCCATCTTGAATATCTCACTTCCGGTTGCGATTTCGCTTTGGCAACCGGCATTTTCGTAATCAGCAGGGTCGAAATAGTAGAAAAACACCCTTTGCCAAAAAGTAATACGAAATGCTTCTAAAATTTTAATGGAGGCCTTTTTTGGATTTTTCGACTAGACTAATATAAGCACTCTAAGTTAGACTTATGAGTTATAAATTTCGAAAATGAATCCAACAATACAGGGTATGATGGGATTATATCAAACGACTACCGAGATATAGCCGATTTTTTTAAATAATACGCTCAATGAATGAATACTAATAAGAGAAATATCGATTTTTTTCCATACTTTAACATCCTACTGTATAATAATGATTAAATGAATGTGAATAAGCACTTTGTTATATTAATATATTATATTGAATGTTCTATTAACAAATTATTCACCCAAGCATGCATTTTCTAATCATTTTTCTGATCATTATTCATTGTCTATCACATAATAAGCCTTCCTTAACTAGCAAATCTTTCATGTTACTTTTATTACACACTGACATATTTTTCTCATGGGTTTCACCACAGACATACAGAAGTATTATAAATATATAAATTCTAATACGAAGAAGTGAGTTGAAGATCTTCAAGAAATATTTTTTATTACCCCCGTGTAGCCTTAATGGTTTCTTTCTGGAGCTATAGGGCATTGAAATATTCTCACTATACAGGGTGTCAATTGAAGGTCTGTTCAAAATCTCAGCACATATTTCTGAGGTAAAAATAAGCCGATTTGAGACAAATTTCCTTAGTCCGAAATTGCTCCGTTTCCGAGATACATATTGTTAAAGTTTGAAAAATAAAAATAGATTTATTCCAGCATTATTGAATATTCTCAAACGAATCACTTCAAGAATTCGTATCCACGTTTTTTTTAGGATGTGGAACCCGAATATGAACACCTTTTCACTGTGGCCTTCAGAGGGCGCTTACCAATGCACTTCTTATGGTTTAGGATGGCCATAAAATTTTTTTCAGTGTAGTTTCTCACTTTTTTCATTGAGCAAATTATTTTTTGAACATTTTCAAGCAAAATCACTTCTGTAAAAATCCACTAAAGTAAGCGGATTTCGAGATATTTCGGTTTTAATTGTTCGATGCTGCATCGGGCTATTTAAATTATTTTGCTGTTACCTTCGTGGATGCAATTTGGGCAGTGAATTAGCAGTGCAAAAATAGATTTTTTTAAATACTTTCTTGGAGTGTACTTGTAGATTTCGATTTTTGAACTTGACCTCCCTGTGTATCGGAAACGGAGCAATATCGGACTGAGATAAGTTGTGCTCAGGAATATATGCTAAGATTTTGTACAGACCTTTCAAGGACACCCTGTATACTTGTCCATGATAATATGATAAAGTCAATTATCATGAAAGAAATACCGTGTGACTGCTGATCTGGATCAGCGAAAAAATTCACCGAACCGGTTTTCGGTCCTTCGAGCCAAACAATCTTCGAAGCCCGATTTCCCCGCACAAATTCGTTTTGTCCAAACATACGTATATGCGATTCATAAAGACTAATAGGAGCAATTTGAAATATATCGGTGAATTCGATTTCATTTAGAATTGAGACTGATTTTTCCAAACAATCTAACCTAACTCGGCCTAATATTATAGATAATATAAGGAAGGAAAATATCCTTTCTGCATAAGATCTAACCTATTTCAGCCTAAAAGAATCTTGGAAGTATATTTTTTGGGAGATCACTTGAAAATTGAATCAAATAATAATAATAATATTGATAATAATGAATATATCACTCGCGACGACTGAACTCGAGTCCCTTGCGTGGCAGTCGCAAGCTTAGCCCACTGTACCAAGCGCCTACTTGTAGCTGGACTAATTAATCCCAGAGGATCAAATATCCGCGCTATTGCAGCTAATACGTTTCGTTTACCCATTCCGACCCATATTCCAATGCCAAGAGAGACTCGCATGTGCATGTCATAGATTAACCCACAATATGTGCTCATCGCTGCCAAGCGAAAAGCGAAGGAACAAAAAATTATTTTCGACGGGCAGTCGCTTCTCGGATCGTTCTGCTTGATCTTCAGGAATCGCCTATACGTATGTTTGGGCAAAACGAATTAGTGCATTCCCCTCCGCACCCAATCTCTAAACTATTGTCCTCCCCATTCACAGCGAGGACTACTACGGCGACCTGGACCTGAAGAGCATCCGCAAGAGCGAACTTTTGGCCGGCCTGCAGAGCACCGGCGCCTCCAGGGCCGCCCCCGCCCCCAAAAACCAAAAACCCAGACCGGCCCCGTCGTCGCGTAACGCCCCCGAGCCCTCGAACAACTGAAAGTTCACGATTAACCGTTCGGATTCGCCGTACGGCACTGTCGGTGTGTGCACTTTGCCGGTTCTAGTGCGAAACAGCGCCTAACAAACGGTACAGAACAAAACAGCGCCTAACGAACGGTACAGAACAAAACAGCGCCTAACGAACGGTACAGAACTTAATAGCGCCTATGCAAACGGTATACAGAACTAAGCAGCACTCGGATGAGGAAACACGGTGCAAAACAGCGCGAGACAAAGGCTATATTCCAAATTCAACTGGTCAGTACTGTCAGTAGATCCACTGACTGTGCTGTAACTTGGAACACGTATTGATCAGTAATCAGCAGCAGTTGATCAGCTGGTGAAATTTGTCAGTTGTCAGGATGACAGTTCACTGAAGCCACACTACCTTTTGATCAGCAGTATATTTAGTCGAAATTTTCAGAATGAATACACAAGTATGATCACAAGTATCTGTCACTTTCAGTGAATTTTTTTGATTTCGGAATAAAAAACCTGCAGATTCAGTACTGTCAGAGAATTTCAATAAAAAAGTCTTTACAAACCTTTGCCTAAAAATGCTTCGTTTCGGAGAAATAGGGTGTTGAAATCGATCCTTTTCAAATTTTTTCGAAATACCTTGGGAAAAAATATTTTTTGAACGATAGTTGGTCCCTGAATTTTTTTCAAGGTAGGAAATCATAATTATTGATCAATAATCTTTATGTAGTGCTTAGGGGGCGGTGCGTATCCTTCCATTTATTAATCAAAATTGTCCTTTTTTGATAGTGAACTTTTGAAACTTTTCATGAATAAATTCTATTCTCACACATTTTTTCAGCAAAAGAGGACACTTCCTCGACAGCACTGTAGCTCCTAGGGCGCTATAAGTGAAGTTGCTGAAAACATTACAAAAAACTTAGGTATTTGATAGATCTCGTTGAAATGAGAATCTTTATTCGTATGAAATGTTTGATGAAAATAACTGCAGTTGAATAAACCAACTATGTTTTGGAAAAATTCAACAATCTTTATCTCAAGAACGAATCAATCTTCGATAAATATTTTATAGGAAAAAAGTTGTTTATTTTGACGAGATCTACCACATACTCAGTTTTTGTTCTCAGCAACTTTACTTAGCGCTAAATAACGTGCATCGGTATAAAAAATTGTAATTATCTCGAAAATAATCACCTACAACAGCGTTATCGAGCACAATTTCTACTTGAAAAAGATGTGAGAATAAGGTTTTGTCCTGAAAAGTGACAAAAGTTCACTGTCGGAAGGGCAATTTTAAACGACGCTCTCTGTTACATAAACATTATACTACGAAATTATGATTCCCTGCTTCAAAAAAACTCAACTGTTTTGGTATGAGACTCTTTCAACTATTTCGCATTTTCGAGGCACTGTTTTGTCAAGTGGTGTTTATCGGGCGCTTCAAACGTCATGCGCTAGCGCAATTTCTTCGCGCTGTTATTTTCGAGCACTGTTTTGTCGGCACTGTTTTGGCCAGTGCTGTTTCGTACCAGAACCAAGCTCGTGAAGATTCGGTGAAACGTGTTTGGGCGTTGAGACTGTCTCAGGAGCGATTCGAGCCTATCAACTGTACTTATTTAATATTAGCCGTAATTTTTAGTGAATCGGGTTCCGCAATCGCTTCTCTGACTGTCTGCTTTCCAGATGCAGCTCGGAAATTTCAGCGGAAATTTTTACTGATCGTTTTATAAACGCAAAAATTTTATCTTATTTTTTATAAATATGAATAAACACGTTTTCATAATACAGGCCTACTTTCTTCATTTAACCCACAACCTTGTATATATATATATATATATATATATAATCTCTTCGTATAACACTTTAGAAACATACAGTAGAAGATAACATGCATTAAGGTGATGTGGTGATTTCTATTCTTACGGTAAGGACTCTTCTCAAATATCTCAGTTCATTATTCTTGGTTTGCATTGGTTTGGTAAATAATATGGTATAGTGGTCCAGAAGCTTACGTAACATGAAAAAAAATCAATATCAGTGTACAGGGTGGTCATTTGCACAAGGTACATGCACTACTGAAACCTCCTAAACTCATTAGTAAAGTTATAGATATGAAATCATGAATATGATTGTTGATGAACTGTTAAAATCGTGGATTATTTAATATACTATATCTGAAGTGAGTCAGTTCTGAATTGCTGTTTATTTTTTCAGTCAATTTTTTCATTGTGCAGAAGCTTCTGATGTAGGTAGACGTAGTACCTACCCTAACAACCTAACTACCTATATTAAGACTGACACTTGGAAAACAAAAAATTACAAAACACTTCTTGAACAAGCCAATTTCAATTTCTGTAGAATCATTTTCTGTCTATAACCACAATTACAGAGCGATCCGAATTTGTGTACACACATTGATTTGACAGTTTATTAAATGACACACCATCCATACATATAATTTCCATATTCGGTTGAAATTTGCACCTTTAAGACTTGAAATTGACTTGTTCAAGGATATTTAAGAGATTGGCAGATGATGAATTCATACAAATCCTAAAATCACACATTATAATTATAGGTATTCATTGAATATAAACTAAAGAACAAGTCATCATTTTCAGTGAGGACTACTACAAGGATGTGGATTTGAAGGCACTGAAAAAACTAGGATATTGAGTAAGTAGTCGCCTACCTCATCAGGGACCATTTGATGTACCTAACAAGTCTACTTACTAATGGAAAATATCTCATGGCTGATATTGAAAGAGCTATGACTATTCGGATACAAATGTGTGAGAAGACTTATTGTTATGGACTTTTTTTGTTTTTTGTGATTATCAATGGTATAGTCCATTTTTTTTGTACATAAATTTCGAGAATATACAGCAGGACTTTTCGCTCGATGAAAATATACCTTCAAAAATTCAATTCATAAATATTTACAGGAGTACATCATGGACGCCAACACAGGGATACATTATAACCCTCTTCTAGAAATAAGTAGCACGTCAATGAAGTTTATTCTGGCATCCCACCAAGTTTATTGATATTTGAGCCCCAAATTTTCAGAAGAAAGCTTTTTATTCAGAATTTATTAAGTAATTCAGCCGATTACTGAATTCCTGGAAAATATTCAGTGGTGTCCTATTTATTTCAAGAAAAGAGGTTGCAACTCCTTTTATTGGTCCATGGAACCTTGTGCGAATTTCAAAAGACTAATACTTTTGTGTATTCTTAGAATGATAAAGTACCTATTTAACGCCTAGAATTTGATTTTGGAGGTACCTACTTATGTTTTCTTTTCTATTCAATATAGTTTTGAATAGAGTCCTGTGAGAAATATGTATGTTAGTTCCTGCTGCTACTACTATACTTGCTGATGTAAAGGTACTCAATACCTAGTTTAAAAAATTGAATAACAAAATTGTTTTGAACATACATTATCAACAGATGTATAATTATAGGTGAGTCTATATTCATAGACGTGTAGGTATAATTTTGTTTTTTGTTGTTTTGTTGTATATTATTTTTTATTTTTAATATATACTTACCATTTTATATTAGTACCTAGAGTATTATTAAATACCCGGAATATACAGGGTTTTCAAACTTTAAGTCGGCACTATAGCCAATTTGGTTATAACTTTTTTGCGAATCAACCGATTTTCAATCGGAATGCAGAGTGTTCGACAGTTGCTTCCTTTCTGTTCAAGATTCATTGTTCGAAACTTTCCGAAGTTTTCCAGTTATGACATACCAAGTGGTCAAAAAGAGTGTTACATAATCGAAAAAGTTTAGAAGCTCCCATATATTCCCCAGGAGTTTGTTCATCCTTATTCTGTTGATCAACTTTCTCAAGTCAATATCTCGAAATGATTTTGGAATATCTGGCCTTCCTTTTACATGATGTGAAATAATCGATATTTTTCGATAATCTGAATTTTTATGCATTTCTGTGGATTTGAAAAAGATCAGGTGATATTCAAACCGTACTGCACTGTAATACGATCGAATTAATTCCTGGTCAAGTTATCTAACTGTTTGCATTTAAAGTTTGTAGTTCGCGGTCAGATAGGTACTCATTGGAAAGTGCTCGAAAAACTCATCCTCCTTGATACGGAATTACTAGCGCATATACGTTGGTGGCTGAGCGCTCCCATATGGTACATTGAAATTAGTTGCCGCTGAACCACTTATTCTGATCGAGTCAATAATTTAATTGCCGATAATGTGTATTACGGCCAGCTGGCGGCCGCCTGGACCGTTACAAAGTACATGAACTGCCGGAAGAGGTGTGCGTTAAAAATGCTGGGCCGATGGTTGGTGTTATCTGGGTTTGGACGTGTACAAAAACAAAATACCAGTTACCGAAGCCAAACACCGTCAACAAATATGGGTGCTGAGATGCTGGAATTTGTCGAATGCAAGTTTGCGACTGCGCGTATAGGCATTTCATGAAATGGCGTCAATGTATAGCATTTTATTGTATATCTCGTTGTTTACATTCAGTTCATTGATATCAGCTATATAGCAATTTATAATCAAATATGTGTTTCATCTCATAAGTTGTAGCTATATTGGTTGTAGTTAGCTTTCGTTGTTTACAAACTCAATGAAGTATCCATTTTAATGCAACATTACAATTGAAAATTAACTGATAGTTTCATATGTAACGTGGCACTGATATTCTTCGTAGTTGAGAATATAGTATAGTTGATATAATATTGCTATTGAAACTAAAATAAAATGGTCACTTCCTTACTCACCATCAATTAGTCAGTATATTTTCTGTTATATTATCAACAGGAATATAGCAGCAAAATTAATACTATATTGTATTTTCATATTACGGAAGAAAGCCTCACAATCTATTGTGGCAGTATTTATTGTAACATTACATATGTTTAGTGAGATTCGATCTTTCTTCGCCAGTGGCATACATCATTTGGCCAAATGAATTCAAAATCATTAATGAATTCCATATTGACAGTAAATAAATGCCTAAAACGGTCGTACATAAAATGTCTGTATTTTCGGGCGCAACTTGTTTTTATGGACCTATATTAGGCGTGTCGATAGAAGCCTACTTTACGCCCTTGACACATAAATAACTATTAAAATGATGTATAGCTGATATTTTTAACGTTTTTTGTTCTATTTTCGGGATGACATTTCTCGTTGACAAGAAGAATGAGAGCTTCACAACGTGTTCACAACCAAACTCTTTACGTTTTGCTTTTTACGTTTCGTATTCTGATTGGTGAAGCAATCAAACATTTCCATTCTCAAAATCCCAAAATTTTGCCGGATATATAGCCCTAAATGCTATGGCCTGTTTTATCGAAAATATTCGAAAGATATACGACCAGGACAATAGTGTTAGCCCTCATAAAAACAAACCTGATATAATGGGAATATTCGTTAAGACTGTATCAACTGTGTCATATACATGTGCTGAAATTATATGTTCTCATTTCAAAAACACCTCGTATGTAATATTACGTTACCCTGCAATCCTGAGAACGTGTAAATCCGAAACTGAAAGCGGCTGAACGATACATTAACACTAGACATTTCTTACCATCAAGGATGATAATATATTGAAAAATACATCCTTATTCAAATATTCAAAAAATACTCACAACCACTTTACAATTCATTGTTTACAACACAGCGCCATTACACGCTTTTGCAATGTTGGCAGAACTGAACTGGTGGTGATGACATGACACAACCACCACAACTACAAAACAAGTGCTTCGATATAAAGGGTAGAGACGCCACTCGCCTCCTAAAAGTAGTACACAAAATAATAAGAAGAAGATATTACTGATGAGCGACAGAACTGTCACAACACAAGGACACAACTGTCAAAACAAGAAATCCAAAATCAAAGATTGGAGGTGAATTTCTGGGAAAAGGATAATTTCAGAAGATTTTGAAAACAGGATTTCCCTCTTTGGTTCAGTTATTGAACTCATATTTTCCTACTTTTCACTCTACTTCTGGTGCTACTTCACTTCATTCTCTCGTTCATTCCCAGAGCAAAGAAGGTGAGTGGAAACAAAAAACAAGAATGGTTAATAATTCATTTTGATCTCAATAAGCAATAGATCACAGAATATTCACAAATATATTCAAAATCAGAAGTTCAAAGTTTAATTCAAATGAAACAGGCAAACACAATCATCTCCGTTTTTCAGGACTGGATTTTTTTCTCTGATGAACCTGTTGGATTGACGTCCATAAATCTCATCTACAGTACTCTGCTGCTTCATATCTGTAAGAATTTATAGAGACATTATGAACCTTGTTCAATAGGTACACTCCCATCTGTTTCAGAATTATTAGAATAAGGAAACAATGAAGTTTCGATTTTGTGGTGATGCTGACTGCCCAGATTGGGTTTTGGTGGAGATTAATACTCTTTCTAAAGTATCATCTGTGAAACTGAAAGTTCTTGCTCAGTTAGTAGCAAAAGGACTGACCAATCCACCCATAGATGTGGAAAAAGCACAAAAACTCTTTTCTGAATCCAAATTAGATGCAGAAGTTGATTTAAAGGCCTGCATAGCCTGTCTGTCATACATATTATCTTCAACAACACGTTTTAGCTGTGATAGTAATGCATTGCAAAGTGAACTTCAACAACTTGGATTGCCCAGAGAGCACAGCACATCTATTAAGAAAATTGTAGATGAGCACATCACAAACCTTACCAAGAAATTTGGAGATATGTCACTGTGTGTTAATGCTTTAGAAAATTTTGATATGAGACTGGATCAAGATTTGGGTTTTGTACTGCTAGATTTGACTGTTAATGGAAAAACCAATACAGTCACCCTAACACCACATACAGCAGATGTGTTGTTGGAAGATTTGAAAGAAGTAAGAAAGAAAATGGTAGAGTTGAAAGATGTATGACTAAAATCTATAGAGAAATAACAAGACATGTTATTCAACATATTTATTATACCATATTGAGAAAACAGGTAAATATTAATAGGGTTTGTTGGAATCTATGCACAGCAAATGAAGACCTATATATTCTGTTACACCTACAGTGACCATCATGCCATTTGCCCATAGCCCTCTTGAATCTTACATTGTTGGGAAACTCTACTTCTTCATCATTGACCTTGATAGGGTGTCTGGTGTTGAAGTCTGAAAAATGTACAACTTCATAGAAAAAAAGAATGAAAGAAGGCAACATTATTTACAATAATATTATGTCATTGATATTATGGTTGAAGTTTTATTAAAAGACTGGCTAAGGGGAATTTGTTGATCTGATGGATGTATTGAATGAAATAATCATCAGTTAATAAGACTATAGGGTTAAAACAAGAGTTGCTGTGAATTTTGACAAGGTAAATGAGTGTGTATACTAGGATATATCCTCGGATATATCTATTCCAATGGATTATCTCATTCATTTCAGAACATTTTCACAATTTAATATCAACACAAGATCCTATAAATTGAGCAGAAAGCAAAATTAAATCCAGAATTCAGTTAAATCATCATTCATTTAAACCTGGATAAGTGACTAAACTTCCTTATTTCAAAGAATACCATATTTATTTTTTCAGTTTTTGAATACCACTCAAAATATCCTTTCTAAGGATGTATAACACTTCATTTTCCAGAAACTGATGATAAAGTACTGGGCTCCATTCAAAGTAAGAAAGTTGAGAGTCACAATTCTGATTTTGGTGATTTTTATTGTATCAAAGTCTGCTCAAGTCAATAATAAGTCCTTGTGATTATCATTGAATGTCTTTATCACCCATACCCCATACATATACAACAAATCACACACAATACTCATTATTGAATGTACAATCAATTGTATATATCAGTACTTTTTACTTTGAATTTTGTATGAAATACCTCCAATAGGATTCAGTTTTTTCTCAAATTACCTTCCATATGGTTAGTCCACAATAATTGTTATTCAATATAAAAACTTGGGACTATAACAAATTTATATTCAATTGATTCATTTTTGAGATATTATTCAATATGTTAGTAAATAATATGAACATTTATTATAATTGAGATTATAATCAAGTCAGCTTATTGTTAGGTAGCCAATATATTTCCGTTTCAATTTTTTTTGTATATCAATATATTGATCATTTAAATTTTTCAGATAGACTACTGTTGTATCATCTCCAAACATTGTCACTTATTTTTCTTTCAATTTCAATATTCCAAAGTAGATACGGATAAAAAGGTGAATTAAAAATCAAATTGGCCACAAAACGATACTTAGTACACAATACACCACATGTAATATGGATAATAGAAGTTACCTTCATACTTATGCTGCTTCTGATGGTGATATGACTCCATGCCTTCATTCAAGTTTTCTAGTCTATAAAGCTCACTTTCATGATAACTCATTTTCTTTTTTGAAACTTCCGCATCATGTCCAATATTTTTGATATTATTCCTCATATTGATAACTTTCGCGTTATTATCAATAATTTTACTATTTGTAGAGGACTTTTCGGTTTTCTGATGAGGTATATGAACTGTAATATTTCTTAGAAAATGACTCAATGTCGTTGTCGGGATTACTGTTGAAAAGTAAATTTCATCCATAGATTTCTGAGCGAGCGTCACAAGATCTCCAAGCGATTCAATGCAAGAATTCAAATCCGATTGTATAACACCTTCAGAAGTTATGAAACATGGAGATTGATCTGATGGTTGGTACAGCTCAAAACTTTCATCAGATAGTATAATAGAGGGTACCATTTTTGTATGGTTTGGAGATGAATCTAAAAAAATTGAAACTTTCGTATTATTCAAGTACGAAACTTACCAAGCTGTTAGGAAGTCCTGTCAACGGCTCACTATTACACAATTAATAATTGAGAAAAAAATCATCAGTTAATCGATCACAAGAAAAGTAAGTGCCTTCATTTTAAACCTAAAATGATGTTGATGGTTTCAACCTAGGCCATATTATCAGACAGAAAAGTCAATTCATCTTGATAATATATTTCAACAGCACACCAGCTGCGAGTTAGAAAACTTCTAATGTGAAATCGTAAATCACCCTGTATTCAAACTTACTTTGACAAAGGTTGTTCCGGTAACTGTCACAACGCTTATTTGGGCATTTTGTGCAAGGTCTTCCTCTGACATATACAGAATCTCCTATCACATTGCCCCCTGGACCATAGTTGCAGACTAGACGCTGATTATAATACAAATTACCAGGATCTCGGAATATTGAAATGCCACATCCGATATACTTTGTCTCCGCCCAAACGAGTTGCGTGTACTGACCTATCAGAAACTGACCTCTTCGAATGCTAAAATAAAACATCGCAAACTGCAAACGCTCAAAAAAATCACCGTACCAAAAATGTCCACTAATGGAAAGGCAAGGGTTCGTTCACGAGAGCATAGAAATTGAAAATAATTAGAGAATTTTCTCATGTTCACTCTGTATAACTTATCGTGATGGCAAAATTAGGCATTGTTTCTTCGAGTTTTCTCGAATTTAATTTGATTTTAATTCTTCGTCCTATGAAGTTGAATTCCATCTATACTCACCGGCAAAAAAAAAATTCAGAGTTTATATTATTCAATCATCAAGGGTGGCCTGTTTTTTTGCCGATATTCTTATTTTAAACATATTATGGTATTTACATGTGATTGGGAGATTTTCTGTCTGATTCTGTGCCTCTATAGAATTTTGAAATAATCTCAATATTACGGGTACGTTGGTGAACCAAAGACACTGTATAAAGATATAGGTATAACAGGGTGTTTCGTAATATGTGGGACGTATTTCGAGAGGTGATAGGGCGTCTCAAGAAAATAAAAAAGTTTCGATAAACAATTAAAAGTCATAGAAGGCTTCATTTGCGAGATACAGGGTGTTAAAGTTGATAATACAAAATTATTTCCATTGAATTCCTAGATAACCGCTAAACAAAAATTCTTGAGAGTGATTGAATCGGTAGCATTATTTAGTCAATCTGACTCCCAGTGGCACCGTTAAGGTGTTGATGAGTGATTTTTTAGAAAAAAACATGGGTGGCGATGAAACTTTATTTTTTATTCGAAAATATGAGAGAGGGCGCAATTTTGAGAGAAAAACCGAATAGCTGAATTCAACTACAAAATTTGATGTAGATGTCGGATAAGTAAATGGGCGTGTACACCTTAGTAGAACTTTTAGGTCAAACCATGTTTATAATGATCCTTTTATACATAAATAATGATTGACGACATAATTCGATCGAAAAATTAACTGGAATGTTTTATTTTTGGACATAAATAATAGTACCTTCTGAAAACGGACCTTCTTATGACGAAGAAACCTCATTTCGCCATAGTTAAAAGAAAATACCAAAAACGCCCTACGGAGACTGAGGCAACTGATATTTCTGATATATTAATTCTCTCAAATGTGATCTCGCGCTAATTCACTCTGTCAGAAATCATGTATCATTCATCTCTGTCTGGAATAGTCTTGTTTCAGTATTAGGGTTTTGACGTCACATCATCGCCTCGTTTTCAGAGGTCCGAAAAATCGGGGATTTCAATAATTATTTATAAAACGTAGGGAGCTCACAGCAAGAAACGGTTTGCGATGGTGAGCTAATTTGGGTGAGTTCTATCGAATTATGAAATACATTTTTTTTCTACATTTTGCCACCACAATAAGCCTCACAGGGTGGACATGAAAAAAATCGATGAATATTTGCAACTTTAACGACCTGTATCTCACAAACGAGGCCTTTTACAACTTTTTCATTTTCTTCTATCACCTCTCGAAGTGCGTCTCTTATATTACGAAACACCCTGTATATAAAATGACTTGATAAGGTCTTTATCATAGAGTTAGGTTTCGCAAGCGTATATTAGTCTGGAACGAAAATAAATAACTCAGTTGACATTCCATATACAGTGTGATCAAGATGAGGTTGCACAGCATGGGGATCTCGATAACTGGAGGAGATGAGAATCCGGTTAAATGCGAAAAAAAGTTGCGCATCCAGAGGGTCATACCAACGGCTTTCGAAAATTTTCAAAATTGTTTTTAGTTTTTCAGTTATATCGAAAGAAGTCAATTCTTGTAAAAATTTTTGTTTCTACGTTATTATTGGAGAAATACTGAAGATACTTTTCGATAGCAACTGTTGATGAGATTTAAAGTGGTGATATTGATTTTTCTACGCGACGGTTCGTATTCGTAGAACCATCATCAACTTTTTTTTAGTAGGTGTTCAAAGATTCTGTAAGCTTTTTTTATTCTAAATTCAACCATAGATTCATGTATTATGCGAGATGGTTTGAAGATATGTGGACCTAGTTTTAGACATCATCAATGTTTTGTTTGAAATTCCAAAGAGGAAATACCATCAGTTCCACTTATTTCTGATCAGTAGGTGTAAAACATTGATGAAGTTTGTTAATACTGAAAAGTAAAGTACATAATTCACTAAATTATTCAATGCAGCGCTTTCATGTTAATGGATTCTCACATGAATTACCTGGAACTAAACTTTGAAAACACGGACAGATATTGAAAAAAATTAAATTCATAAGGAATGTTGAAAATTTCGAGGCATTTCTGGGGTAATACTGCTGAATGCTTCGATAACACTGTCCCTTGGTTCTTCTCCGTTATCGAAATTATTTGCGTAAAAAAAGTTTTTAAAGTAACCCCAATGAAAAAATCCAGTGGTGTTCAATATCCGGTGATCGCGCCAACCAAGGGACTGTAAAATAAGTTTAGTTATCAAGGTAATTTGTATAAGAATCCATTCAAATGAAACAATTTCAAGCGCTGCATTGAATAATTCACGAAATATGTTGTTTTTACTATTAAGTATCGAATAACTACTCCATCAATATTTGACACTGAGGATCAGAAATATGTGAAAGCGATGCTATTTTCTCCTTGGAATTTCGAAAAAACATTGAAGATTGTTAAAACTAGGTCGAAACACATTCAAACCACCTTGTATACACGGTCGAATTCAGAATAAATGAATAGTAGCTTCAAAAACTAAATAGAAAGCCAAACTAAAAAGTAGAAAATAAAATGAGTGTTTTGATAAATACACAACATAGAAAATTAGCGTCTCCGTAATCAGTACATAGGACATATCAGGAGAACATTTTGAAACTGGTTCAAGGAACACTTTGAAGTATGCTTGTTTCATGATCTGTTTCCGCTCTCAATACTCTGTATTCGTGGGTTTTATATGCTTTCCTATAATTTTGCAATTTCAATTGCGATTCTTACCCAGAAAAGTAATTGACATCACTTGGAATAACATCAGACACTTGTTTGTACCAGTTGAGAATCAAAATGGCAAGCTCAGGTAATTCTTTGTCCATTGTTATTGCAGTTAAGATATTCTGACCCACATCAAAGCGTTCTAGAAAACAAACATTAGATTAATTAATTCTAATAAGACACAATATATAACTTTCCATCAAAGAAATAAACAAAATATTGATTTGAATATTAGAATAAATAATGAAAGATTGAAACAAACTGCCTATACCAAATACCTTGGTATTCAGATTGATGAAAAGTCAACATGGGACAAGCATATTGGCATGCTCAAAGAAAAAATGTATCCCATAGTTGGTGTCCTAAGAAGATATCCAAAACTTATCCCAAATATAGCAAATACGAGCGGTAAGCCCTCTTTTGTAAAATGAACACAGAGTTCAAAAGAAATTGAGAACTATTCCCCCAAAAACAAACTCCATATCTCAAAATTGAGTCAATCAGGGCAAAATAAACTGATCTTGCTGCAGATGTATTCAATTCAGATGAGATGACTCTTACTGCAAAACAACCAGAAGATAATTTTTTGCATAAATTTGTAATGTGCGATGGGTGTTGAATGAGAGACTGTCATCCACATAGAACCCTAAAAACTTAGCCGATGATTGAGTACAAATTCTTGAGTTTTCCAAAAGTATGTCATTAAGAGTGCACTTGAACGTCAAAATACATGTTTTAGAAATATTGAATGATAATTTATTCGCATCACACACATTTTTTACTTCCAATATATCTTCAGCGACATAATTACTCAGTTCGTCATTATTGTTGCTATGCCACAGTATTGTGGTGTCATCTGCGAACATAGTAAACTTTCCTCTAATGGTGATATTTGCTAGGTCATTTATATATATATTAAAAATGAGATTGGTCCAAGTATAGCTCCTTGTGGGACCCCACACTTCACTAACTGAGACCTGGACTTTTCTTTGTTAAGCGAGACTATTTGAGTACGCTCTGATAGGTATGATTGGAAGCATCTCAGTGTAATATCTCTAAAGCCATAAATTTCTAGTTTTTGAAGCAAAATTTCATGATCAACACAGTTGAATGCTTTTGAAAGGTCGCAAAAAACTGCTGGTTGCTTAGAGTGCGATTATGAAGCAAAAATGAGAACATTCTTTTTTTAACTAATTTTTCAACTAACTTAGCCAGAGTTGGTAAAAGTGAAATTGGTCTCAGATTTGATACTATGTCGCAGTCTCCTCCCTTAGGTAAAGGACTTATTATAGTTATCTTGAGACAGTTCGGGAAAATCCCACTTAGAAATGATTTATTGATTGTCTCTGCTAAAACAGCCATAGCATCATCTGGTAGATGGAGTAAGACATTAGCTGAGAACTCATCCCATCCAAAAGTATGTTTATTTTTAAAATACTTCAATATCTCTTTCAGTTCATCGGGACTAGTGGGTGAGAAGAAAAAGGAGTCTTTCACAGATAAATTCTTCATGTAGAAGAGATTGGGTCCTCTTGTGCTCTAATATCCGTAGAAATGGTTTCAGCTATAGAACAATAATAATCGTTAATTTGATCTGCAGACAGAGTAGTATTTAAGGTATTCACAAAGCTCTGAATGGCCCAGAACCCTTCTGTGGTATTGCGAAAGCTATACAAAAGACTAGTATCAAATCATGGATGCAAACCAAATCTCAAGAATGGTGGAACAAATCGCCAGGAATGAGACAGGCAAAAGAGTTTATTAAAAAACCATCGCCAACATTCACAGAATATCTACTAAGCCAGAAACGAAGTTCAACTAGAATACTAGTGGGACTTCTCACAGGGCATTGTAGGCTCAACAAACACATGAGTACGATAGGTCTGACTGAAGAACTGCTGTGCAGGTTCTGTCAGGAAGAGGAGGAAACAGCAGTACACATACTTTGCCACTGTGAGGGCTTGTCAAGACTAAGGTTCCTTACGCTGGGTGAGGAAAAACCAGAAGCCCAGAGATACACAGGGGATCTGAAAGCTAGCCTATGGAGTCTCATAGAGAAGACGGGGCTAGCCGAAGAACTCTAATCGATTTTGAGGGCAGACACAATAGATCTGAAAAGGTCGCGGTGTGGAGGCAGATAGCCCGAAGGCCCCATTCTAAATCTAATCTAAAGGGTGGTTTACTATTTTTCCCTCTGAGATTATTAATAATAACCCAGCTCTCTTTACATTTATGAGTGAATCATATTTTGCTTCTCACCTGAACTCTTACAAGTATCATGTTGGACCGTGGAGTTTATACTTATGCACTGATCAGCCCACCTCTGGGCCATTGATGCAAGCTCATCATCCCACTCCTAAAAAATGAAGTGATTGCAAGCCGTACAAAAATAACTAGTCATCCGCCCAGAAAATAAATCCAGTAGGTTGCCCTATAGCTCAAATGAAGTTAATGTAGATTGTTCTCTTCCTTTTCCAATCTATTATATTGATCACCCTGTTTAGTACCTACCAGTTGGTTCATATTAGATGCAGGGGGCTGACTTCCAAGTCTTCCTTTTAACTCGTGGCCGGAAGCTACGTGATTTCTTATATCGTTGTGGATATCGACAATGTAGTTTTTCAGTTGATCTGTTAAATCTATTTTATGGTAATCAAAACAGGATGTGCCTGGTCCTTTCTAAAAAAAATAGTACGACATATATGTACTTTTACCCTATCAACATAATGAAATAATCAGTATAAAATAATGAATAGGTTTTTTGTTCTTCATTGAATAGGTATGCAAACGCTTGATTTGAAGGATTTGTGAAGAATTTATATGATTAAATGCATATATTTCAATACTTACCTCATACTGACATAAAGTATGAGTTCTATTTTCACACATTTTACAATAGTCGATCGCACATACACTATGAATAAGGAAGAGTATGTGAATGAAAACCATTTCAGTCAATGTAGGTAAATATGATAAATTATTTAGATAAGTTGTCACAATGACAATTCTAAAATAATGCGACACCTTTTTTTAAAAATGAAGAAGACCTTATTGCAGGTGTTCCGTTTTTGAACTACCTATTTTTTTTTATCGAAAATGGATTTTTTTTATCGAAAATGGATTTTTTTTAGATCGGACCTTCTTGAGAGCTGATGAATGAAAAAGTATATATTTAGGTACTTGGAAACCTAACAGAATATTTTGATCAACTCGCCGAGCGCTACTCAGAATGTTACATTTTATAAAACATTTCTTGAAATTGTAAAAACTTCACAAACGACAAGATTTCTACAAAATGCTTAATTACATGACATGTTTCGCTAAACACAGTAGCTTCATCAGGTGAAATACATGAACTGAACTAACCTTGGCTTGCCTAACTTTTATATATCCTACTTTCCCAACCTGAAAGATTAGAATTACCTGTGGGCAGGTTCCATAAACCTTAAATTTTGGCAAAAAGGCACAATATCTTCATTAAAATACGGTGTACCGGATTAACTTGAAAGGGTTGCTTTTAATTGATCAACTCTGTACCTTAATTTGGTGATTTAATGTTGATGTTAATGGAATCTTTTGTAATATTGACCATTCAGAAACACATGGAAATTGATGGAAATAAACTGCACCCTACTATAGAGTTCCTTAATGTATTTTAAACAAGGATTGTTTTTGGCACCTCATAACAGCTGGTAAATAAAAAAGTATCGAATTTTTTTTCTGAATAAGCTCAATGAGGATTGTTTTTTACTCCCCTCTGAGACCCATTATCTACTCCTTATATGTGGTTCCCATAACTTGCCCAGGTTTGTTCAGATTCTGTATTTTCTCATCATTTTCGGCTCTTCTTCTTTATATACATATATAGCTTCTTCATTATAAAAGAGTACAAAAATTATTATCCCAAAAATCGTTTTAATTTCTCGAATTATACTTTTATTGCTCATTTCACTAGAACTATTGATGAAATCCTTCAAGAAGTCTAGAACTCTTTCAAATATAATATCATGAAATGCCAGAACTCTTAAAAAAAGGTACACATGAAGCACTTTCTTATTCCATAGCTTTATTAATCCATTTGAACTGTCCACGAAATAGGTCTAGAACTATTTTAAATAAAACCAAAAAATCAGCATATTCAATATTTTCGAAAAGAAAAAAAAAACTGAAACTATTCAAAATCAGGAACTATAGAACTCTATCCAAAAACAAGTAATTTATAAAAACAGGGACCAACTAAAGAATAACCACTTATTTAAACCCACAAGTGGAATAATTTCCCCCATTGCTCTGTCCTATGGTGAAAACTACAAAATGGATTAAGTACATCATTTTTTGTTGGTCACATGAGGGAACATTCTGGAAAACAATTTTGTGCAATGATTAAAATTGCAATTACAATCCTGTATATTCAAATGAACTTACCATTGGACAGGAGAATGAATATAATAATCAAATGATAGTTACAATGTTTATTCTTAATGATTTATAATCTATATATACACTTGATTTGAAGTTTCTCATGCACACATTATATTGGAAATACCTTCACAGTTGAAATTCATGCTTCCTCATGCCGTTTCATATGAGCTTTCAAGCTAATATTACTCTTCAAATATTTAACACAGATTTCACACTTGAACTTTTTCTCTTTTACTTGGTGTACCTGCCTTTGATGTCTAATCAAAGCACTAGGCTGTCTGAAAGCTCTTGAACATATATCACATTGAAAAGGCTTTGCATTGTTGTGTATATTCATGTGATAAATGAGAGAATTCTTTACTGTGAATTTTTCTTTACATAGGGAACATTCAAATTTTTTCACCCCAGCATGAGTGATACGAACATGCCTCAGTAAATTTGCTCTGTAAGTGAATTTCTTATCACAGTGCTGGCAAGACAAATCTTCAGCTTCTTGATCACCTCCATTGGATTTCTGCTTGTGGAGTTCTACATGTTTCATTAGATTTTTCTTGAAAAAGAACCCCTTATTGCAAGTAGAGCAGAAATATATGTATTCTGGTTTCTTATCTTCTCCATTACCATGCTTCATTTCCATGTGCCTCTTCAAAGAAACTTTTCTGGTCAGAATTTTGTCACAATGAGTACAATCAAATATTCCTTCATCATTATGGTGGGTTAGATGCTTTATCAATGTGCTGTTCATTCTGAATTTCAGTCCACAATGCTTGCATTCAAATTTCTTCTCATGTGAGTTCAGATGTTCTCTAAGGGTTATTCTGCTAGTGCAGTATTCTCCACATATACGACAAGCATAATCTTCATTAGACTCCTCATCCACACTTTTTTCAGCTTTATGGCAATGATCTTTCCTGACATGATCATTCAGTTCAAGTTCATTCATTCCTGACCAATCACAAAAGGTGCATTCACACAACTTTTCTTGTGTATGACTTATAATGTGATATTTCCAACTTATTTCATATACAAACCCTTTACCACATACATTACAAACATATGGCTTATCTGAGGGCTTATCTAATGCAGTTTTCTTGTCAACTCCAAGTTGTATAATTTCATTTACTTCATGATCATCTTCTGTATGAAGAGCTGAATGCATATCCAAAGATTTTTTACTCAAAAAACTTTGACCACAAATGCTGCAAGAATAAGCTGGTATTTTATGTGATTTTGCATGGATAATTGGCTGAAGCTTATTTTTTTGGTTTTTAGGGTATATTGTAAGTCTTGGCAGTGGAGCATTAGTAATGCTTTCCTCTTCCTCATTTTCACTAAAGTCTGCTTGATCTTGATAATCCTGAGAATCAATAATTATTTCTTCAATATTGTTTTTGGGAGATTCATCTGAATCATTTGAATGTTCTGTAGATGTTTCATGATGATTCACCTTGTCTTCAGAAATTGGATGTGATCCTTTTTCATATTCCTGAATTGTGCTCAATATACTGCAACTTTTTTTGAATTTGGTTATGAAAGAAGAAATTCCCTCCAACTCTTTTATGCAATGTTTGCAAATATTTTTGAGTAGTTCACTATCACTCTGGAATTGAAAAAAAAGTTATATGATATCTGAGACACATACATACACATATATGAGAATATCACCAAATATCATCATAGCTATGTAAATACTTCCAATGGTTGCAACTAAAATGGTATTTTGGTAGGTATAAACAAGATGCTGTTCATTTTGCACAAGTTAATAATGTCCAATAAGAAAATCAACATTCTACTATTTTAACAGGTCTATGGCACACCACAGCAATGAGGTCCTATCTAGGTATTGAGGGTTTGCCTCAGAGACCCAATTAAATTTATAATCTTTTATGAACAATGATATTTGGCTTGGATTGCTTATACTCTGAATGTTATGCTTCAAATTTACAAACTGGTTGGAGCTTACCTTACAATTAAAAGAATGAAGGAGTAGTTGGTATGTGGAATATACACTAGAATCCGCTAATGGCTCCAATTCACCAACAGCCAAGCAAACTCGACAAACTTCTTCAACGTTTCCTACAATGCACATTCTTTGCTCTTCAAGTAAATGCTCTCCTGATTTGACGTCTATAGTTTGATCCACATTCATCTCCATATTATTTTCTGATGATATCGAGAGGATGAGATTCCCTTCTTATTTTTTTTTTCATTTACTACATTAATTATTGTCTACCGTCTTGGTAGATGATAGCTCTAGCAAATTTAATAGATTCATGATATTCAAAAGACGGAAAATTGAACAATAAACAATAACAAAGATCAGCAAAAGCAGTAAAAGGACACAGATCCACAGATGTCAGATGCAGCTTCACTCAGTGACATGAAACATGACTTTACCAAGACCACGAGTTAACCACAAGCAACCACATGGTACAAACGTCTCTCGCCAGTCATTCAATTAGTAGCATGCTGCCGTGCTGCGCAAACCAATGACGGCTAAATATCTAGACTGTTCGACCCCGTCGGACAGTCTAGATGTTTAGCCGTCATTGATCAGACACAGTAATGGGTTGCAAGGGTTGCAAGTTGCAAGAACTGTCAGATGACCAACCTCTGGAGTTTAAAGACAATGAACTCAATATACACACCTCATATAGAACTCATTGTAAACATATATAGAATTCATTGTTGAAACATTGAAACACAACCTCACTTTTCGTATTTATTTACGAATGATTGAAATAGTTTTTCACAATTATTCTGGCATACGAATCGTGATTTTTGACTATTCATTAATTCGCGCATGCTATCACATTGTACGGTTGTACAATAATGCACAAACAATGCAGCGATAGACGAAGGAATCCGGTTGGTACATTATGATCAGAGATCAGTCAACCTGTGGTTGACTAATCTCTGATTATGACTCAAAATTGAGTCACATATAGTTTTTATTTTGAAATTTGGTAATTTTTCTGATTTCTTATCGAAATTCCTTTTGCATTTGGAGCTAATAGGAAAACTCGTAACATTTCTAGGAATACAAGAAAATTGGATTCATGCAATCAAACGGGAGGACTGGTCTGACTTGCTGACGAAATATGATCGTGTGTGTTGTAGACATTTTCAATCTATTAGGCATGATTGAATTAATGAATAGCGCAGAAAACACGATTCGTATGCCAAAATATTGTGAAAAACTATTTCAATCCTAAATGAGTGAGATTGATTTTCAATGTTTCACAGAAGAGTGAGGTTGTGTTTTGATGTTTTACCTCCAGGGTCGGTCATCGTGCACGCGACCTATGCGTATATAAGGTATAAGTAAGATGATCTCAGGTATACGGTATTATGAGGTAGGAAAATATCGTTTCGGCTACTTTCGACTCAATTTTCGGCCTAAATGAATCGTTTTCTTGAAGAGTATATTTTTACTTAGGTGAAAACAGAAGGTTATAAGTATGAGGCAGGAAATATCGTTTGTGCATGAAACCGAACTCGTCCTATATGATCATTTTTCTGAAAAGTATATTTTTCGAGAACTTACTCGTGAAAGACAGGAAAAAAAATTACGCGATCCACCGCAGTGGAAGTCAGATAGACCTTTGACAGACCAATGAAGTATCACGTTTCTCGAAAGTTGTAACTAGGAGGAAATAAGAGATATTCGTGTGTTGGCTTGTTTATCAAAACAAGCAGCATAGCAGCATAATACTAATTGAATTACTTGCGAGAGACATTCATCCAAGACCTGACCTAACATAGAACAACTAGTTTGGTGAGCATGCAAGAATTCAAACAACCACGACTTTCGGTATAATCATTATAAAGATTCGAATATTGGCCGCCATAAATAAAATAAAATTATTGTGATTAGTTAGTCTAATATGCATCTGTACCGAAAGCCATGGCTGTTCGAGCGGTAACATATTCTGATTGTCCACCAGCCAACAGCGCTTCTGAGTTGTGAGGTTACATATTTTCTGCTTTCGATTAATTGACTCTATATTTGATCACATAAGAAACATCACCCTATATGTTTCTGAAAATAATTGAAAAAAAAGTTTCCAAACTGTCCATAGCCTTATTTCACCCTTTTTGTAGTAGATACTGGCTATTTTTTTCAACGAAATTGTGTTGGATTCTGATATTGGGTTTTGAAATGGTGTATTTTCGGAATATCATGGATCATTATTTCTTTGCCCCTCAAGCTTCGCCCATACCTAATACAAATTATTTCAATATCAACATTTCAATAATTAAATGCATTAAACATACGAAATTCGAACAACTGAATTTGTCTCCAGAATCCAGTTTAGATACCCCTCAATACGCATGCGTACCCCAAAACTGGCGTTGCGCTTTTGAACCACAGTGTGGCGCGAATCGCCACACTTCTGATACACTTCTGGTACGAAAATAATCACATTGTCGAAAATCTTCCGCGGGAACGTTTCACTGGCACATTTTCGGTCTCTCGGTTCAATTTGACGTTTCTTCGCGAAATTTAATTGTACTATTTGAATTTGTTAGTTCACGTTTAATGGAAAAGAGTGCCGCCAATCTCACAAATGAGGTGTCTATTACGAAGATCTCTATCAAGAAGGAACATTTGAATGACGACATAAAGGTGAGAGATGTAACTAAAAATAAAATTGTTCTGTGATTAATTTCCACATAATCATTTATTTTTTCAATCAGAAATATCGTTAGATATTGTTTTTCCATCGATTTTTAGAAGAAGTTTTGTTATTTTCAAATAGCGCGATTCTTTTTTTATGGATTCGAATTTTGTGGATAGGAAATCTTTTTATTTGATCACATGGGTATAGTCCTTTTATCAAAATCTCTTGATCTGTGAATCAATTTGTAGGTATGATATTAGTTTCAGGTTTGATTGATGAATATAATGAATGTCTTTTTCACCTACCTAATATCTATTCACCAGGATAGTTTTTTATTCCAATATGATGTATTTACTATTATAATATCATGCATAGTTAACCTAGGTGTAGGTATAGGTATGGGTTTCTGCTGTGACATAACAAAATAATGTTGTACATCCAAATTAGTATTATAGAAAAATAATGTTGATATTAATTAAAATCAACTCTATTGATGCTCGTTTTTTAATACAATATATGCAGATCACCAGGTTTGCCCGTTTTGAATTATTCTTAAAAATTGACATAATTTCTTCAAAGAGTATGGTTCATGCGGTTATACTTATATAGGGTGTGTTAGATGAAAACTATCATTTAAATTTTTCAAATAACGAAAATATATAGCTCACTTCGATGGGTAATTCTGTACTTATGGAAGGTGAAGTAGACCGTGCCATAGAGGTATCTCTATAATCAGGTCAATGATGAGAAAATATAATATTGTTTAACGAGCACGGACTGATAGAGATTTCCCACGAGAATGAGTTTGCAGCATATATGAGCCGTAGGCGAATGCTGCAATCATTCGAGTGGGAAACTAGCATTCCGTGCGAGCTGTCATTGCTTGAAATTTGACATGACATGAGCGATGATATTTTTTTGAAATAATAACACAATGGAGTCATTGTGATATCAGATTCTGAAATAAAATTGATGAAATACAAAGTACCTCATCGAACACAGTGAAACAAGAGCAATTTTGTAATATAGTCGTAGAAAAAATATAGTATATGTATATATGTAACGCGTTTATAAAGTCTTCTAGACACTCGCTCCGCTCTGCTGCGCTTGTGCTCAAAATACTCGTTACTAAAAGGACGTTTATAACACCTATTATACGCAACAAGAGTGTAACACCCTGAGTTTTTTAGCGGTTTCTAAATTGAATTATTGGGAAAAACGCCCATTGAAAACCCGTCCCTTGGATGCCGATGCATCGATGTAAAAAACTGTGCTGTTCAAGTATCATATCGTGAAATTAGAATGAGGAAAAAATGCCATGAATAAATGGTATTGTTTTTACGCTCCTGCTCAAAATTTTCAAATTCTGAGCACAAACTCTTATTCAGCATCAAAAGTTTATGGGGTTCACCAAATTTCATGATTTTGTGATGAACAGTTTAGGAAATATTGAGGAAAAATTCTCTTTTATAGGGTGTAAACTATTTGAAATATCTTTTTGCCGCAAATGTTTATTGAAACTGTTTTTCATGAAAATACCTCGAAAACCAATAAACACAATTTTTTACCAATGCTTATGAAACACCTTCTATTTGTCTATACACTGCGAGAGGTTGAATATTCGTCAGATTGAATCAGTCTAAAATTTACGACGCGTCTGAATTTTTTTTTCACAGTTGCATCTGTAATTTATACAGAGACATTTTTTTTTAAATATCTCCTAATTTACAGTTGCAACTGAAATAGGAGGTGATATTAAAGTGGAAAGTCCGAGATATAACTCGGAGTTTTGAAATGAGAGCCAAAATTTCTATAGATTGAAAAAATGAAAAACCTGTGGCATTTCCACGCCTTCGCATAATAGTTCAACTTTTGAACGGGAGATTCCGGATTGTATGAGATGATCCGGAACCGATATAATGGACACAATCATCTGATTGATGTTTTTTTTATTTATAAAATAATGCTCACCGATGGTCGGGTATCCTAGAACAGGCCATACTTGTGTCAACGTTGACAAAAAATCGAAAGTTTCATAGGCAATATTGGTTTGTTTTTGAGTAGATTGGACTAATACCTAAGAACATTGCAATTTTAGTTCATTTTATTGCATTTTTAAAGAATTTTGTAAAAGAGTAAAGAAAGGCTATGCTTATTTATCTCGAAAACGCTTATTCGTTTATCGAAAAAAACTGAAAACCAAAAAGCAGCCTCTAAATCAAACAAACTACCCAATTTAGTAACTGGAAGATTTCAGAGGCATACTACGAAAAAGTTTGGGAGGGATAAAGAAGCTTCTACCCCCAAAAACGTATAACCCTTGTAGATATTGAACATCTCTTAAATGTTTTGAACTTCTAAGAAGTATCCACTACACCACATTTCAAATTGATATATCCATAAATGAACGAGATATTATAATTAATAGAAAAATAATTAAACTTCGACCCCCTGTAGCTCTGCTTCTCATCGAGATTGGACTCATGTTTATATAAACTTTCTTGATTGAAATGATGAGATCTATCACCCATTTCAGTTAGTACTTCAAAAACTGAATCACCATGCATAAATTATATTTAGAAACACTCTGATCTCAGTTAGTGACAAAGCGTCAAAATACTTCCCAGAATATATCGCCCTCTCTAAAGATAATATCCGATGGACCAGTTTCAAACGCAACAGGTGGATTAGAATATATTTGTAGTATGAGCACCACATTAGTTTCACACTGGTCCATCGGATATTATCTTCCGACGAGGGCGAAATATTCACTGAAATATTGACGCGCTTTGCCATTCATAACTTAGATCAGTTCGAATCGCTGCACGTTTGGATATTCGCAAAAAGGCTCAGAATGAGGGGTGACACAGGTAGGTTTTTGAGATCTACGATTCAATTGGCGAGTGGAAATTTATTTTTATTTCTTGAATAGATCATTTCCCAAATACTCGTCAAATACCTTTTCAATTTCATATTCTTTGAGAATTTTTCGGTCAATTTTTAGATGCTAAAATCATCAATAATGCCGTGGTAATTCTCAAACGGCTAGAAATTTACCGTCAGTAAAAACTGACGCAACGATTTCGTAAGTAGGGACAGACCATAGCACAGTTAACATGTGTTGAAATACGAAAGATGTCGAACAGCACTTTATCAAGACTCCTTCATCCATAGAACGGCTAGGCTCTGGAATTCATTGCCTGTGGAAGTATTCCCAACAACATATAATTTCCAAAAGTTCAGAAAAAATTCCAATACCTACCTCCTGTCCCTATCCTCCCTAGGAACGCACGATGTTCTTTGAACATTATAGGGATTCCCTTTCGTGCGCTCCAAGCGATAAAAAAATCCATAAATTCTCAATTGAGTATTGGTAATATTCCTACATACAGTGTTTCCAATATTTGTTTATTCGTTAATACGTATAAACCTAATAAAAATGGTATATTTGGCATGTAACAGAAGTTCATTCATTATCTTCAACTTCCTCGATTGGAATATTGGTACCTTCCCGAACAATCATTGCACGATACTGTGCAAAAAATTCTGTATCGTCGACATTTACATCTGGTTCCACAAGGTTCATCTACTTCAGTTTTTGCAAGAGTACTTGCTGCAGTATCGATAATGGAAAGTAGACGTGCAAGGACATTTTTGATGATCAAAAATCGTTTCTTGCATTACACACATCAATAATAGTTTGTCGAAACGCGAAAGTTCGTACTGGTCTACTGGTGATGAATTGGCCACAAAACAAGCAATTATCTGTGAATGCGAATGTCGGCAGCTCAGATCACACTGCTCTGTTGCTGCTGCTGCTGCTACTAGTTGATGCTTCTCTATCAGGATTCACGTACAAACGACGACATTCGATGTGAACAATTAGAGGATGAATAGGCACTGGTTCCAAGAGTTCAATTATTTTGTCTTGCTGCTACTTGCTAGCACTTATAATTCCTTGGTCACCTTTAGCAGTCAATTCAACACAATTCGAACTATCATCAGTACTTAACGAAAATAATAAACATTTGTTATCTTCCATTGCTGCTTTTAAGTCACTATATTTAGGTATACCTGGAATAGTATATCAAATAATTCATTCGATATTCATTCACGATCACAGAGAATAGTTTCAATTACATACCAAAATGATTGTTTCACACCTCGACACGAATTTTTAGGTCTGCTAACCATATTATCATTTTTAGGAAGATTATGAAATTCGTTTGAATCTTATCCTGAAGATCCTAACATAGGTAGTGGAACATGTGTTGAGTTGTGAAACAATCATTTCGGTTTGGGCACCTGAAATATGAAAAGTTGCATTGAAACATTTTTGCACGAAAGAATGCATCTATATTTTTAATATAGTGTAAGGGATCGAATGAGGCTTCAGAAAATGAAAACTGCGTTTTTGTGGAAATTATTTCCACCCCAATTCCTCCAACTGCTCTACTATACAGTGTGTCTTACTTACCATGCTCACCATGGGTATCTTTTTAACGGTGAGAGATACGAGGTCGGTTAAATGACACCAAATGTGGAGTTTGTCAAGGCCAACTATAATGTGAAAAAATATTTTGATAAAATCTATTCGTTTTTGTTTTTTATGCAAAAAACAGATTTTGATCATTTTCATGTCTCCTCCGTAACTTCTTTATTTATGAAAATATACAAATACTAATTTCACATTCTCATGGCAGTTTTTCGAACCGATTTCGAAAAAAATATGAAATTCATACCGACTCTTCTAGAATTTGAGATATCAGCACCAACTTTAGTTTTTCAAATGCGAGTCATGGCTCACTATGACTTAGTTACAAATAACTTTTTTTTCTCTTACAGATGATATGTCGCAGTAATAGTTTTGTGTTAATAACAAAGGAGTTATCGTCATTTATACAAAAACAAATAATTATTTGGAAGCCGCCATCTTGAACTCATACATTTTAACAGAAAAATCATGATCTCCGACCTCAAAAACCCCCACTCACCAATTTTGAAT